GGGGGGGGGGAGGGGGGGGCAGCAGGGGGGACCAGACCAGCAAGCTTATTACAAGGGACCGGCGGCTTCCCTGATGTACATTAAGCCCTGCTCGCCCGAAGCGATACGAATTTGACACCCCTGCCTAGACTCACGTGCCACCAGAGGGGCCTCTGCATGCCCTTTGTGGCACGCATGCCATAGGTTCCCCATTGCGGATCAATAATATTGATGTCTACTCTGGGTATGTCATTGATGATTGGGTCTCTGAGGACACATTTCTGGTTGTGTTGGTGAGATATTGGCTTTGTGTCTGTGGACGTGCTTTTGGTCGTCTCAGTACAGAACCTTCATCTCAGCAATTCTATGTTTTAATACTGTTTAAAAAAAATGTTCAGTCCACTGTGTGTGTGATTCTTTTATGTCCGTGTTACACTCTACAGTGTTCCCTTTCACTCTTCCCCTACTCTTCCCAGACGGCCGGTGCACCCTCTAATGCATGGGGTCCTATAGAGCACCTCTCCTTTAAATGGGAGTTCCAGTGTGCCCTGTCAGGGAGGGGTCCCTCATACCAGCTATCAATAATAATAATAATAACATGACAGACACCTATTATTACATCTATTTCTTCCTATAATACGTCCGGGACCACACACACCGTTCAGGTCTTATAGGTTTTGTACAACATTCTAAAACATTAAATTGGTATTTATCCCGCTAATGACTAAGAGTAACACCTGGAAATGAAGCACATAATTAGGACGACACAAATAGTGAGGAGGTATAAAATAGAGGAACCCGCAGGAAGTACAACATGAAGACCATGAAGATCCCAGGACTGATTCATCTGACAGCCACCATGGCCCTCTGTCTGCAGCCAGGTAAGATGGATTATATGTATATAGACACACACAGTATATTAGTAAGGGAAGGAGAGGCAACCATAGAGGAAGAAACAGGAGAGGAGGAAAGGAGGGGAGAGGCAACAATAGAAGAAGAACGAAGCGGAGGAGAGTAGGGAAGAGGAAAGGAGAGTCAACAATAGAAGAAGAAACAGGAGAAGAGAGGAAAGGAGAGGCAACAAAGAAGAAGAATGAAGAGGAGGGGAGAGGAAAAGAGAGGCAACAAAGAAGAAGAATGGAGGGATTAGAAGGTAGAGGAGAGGAGGACAGAGATGAGGAGAGGGTAGCGGAAACAGTAGAGGAAGAGAAGACAGGAGAAGAGGAAAGAGAAGGTGCATGAGAGGAAACATGAAAAGAAGAGGGGATAGAAATGGAGGAGATGAGTGGACAAGAGTGAACAAAAGGAAAGTAGAAAGAGGAAATGGGAAAAGAGGAGAGAGAGGAGGAGGACAGGAAAGGATAAAGGAGAAGACATAAGGGGAAAGGATCAGGGAAAGAGGGGAGATAACACAGGAGAGAAGGAGTGGAAAGGAGTAGAGGAAAGTTAGGAAATGAAGAGAGTGGAGAAGAGAAAATAAGGAGGCAGAGGAAATGGAAATATAGGACAGAAGAGAAGAGGGCAGGAGAAATTAGAGCGGGGGAAAGGGAATGGGTGATAGAGGAGTGGGAATAGGACAGCAGGAGAAATGGTCAAGAGAGAAGAGACAAGCTATGAAATAAGAATAGTGAGGAGAGGAGTTTTGTCTTGAGGGTGAACAAAACGTAATGAACTATAATGGACTGTGTCTGGTTTGTCCTCAGCTCGGTGTCTGGTATGCTACATGTGCCCATCTCCAACTCCATCTCTACTGTGTACCAAGACTATGAATTGTTCCGCTCCAGAGACCTGGTGCTTCTCCACTGTCTTTGGCTCTTCTGGTAAGATCCTCCTCTCCTCCATCCTTTTGTTTTTCTACTTTGCATTATCAGGAAGTAAGTTGTGTTTAGAAGAACAAGGCTCATCATGTTCTCACAAGGCCCCCCCCTTGGGGGACTTTTTCTATACACATTGCTTAGTAGGTTTTACTATGAAGTTTATTTACTTATTAGCCATGGAGATGAGAGGAAGCGGAAAGGGAAGGAGAGGAAATGAGAGGAGGAAAGGGGGAATGAGAGTAGAGTGGAGGGGAGGAGAAGAAAGACAAAGAGAAGAGACAAAATGAGAAAGGAGATGGGAGGAGAGGAGAGAACATAGGAGGGGAGGAAGAAAAGACAGACACGGAGAGACTAAGCGGAGGGGCTACATGACTGGGGGGGAGGAATAGTCCCGGGAGAAAGGGTTAAAAAATAAAATGGGAATAGCTGCTTTTACCTGATTGGACGTGGGAGTCAGGTGTCCGGGAGGAGCCGCATGGGAAGGGACTGCGAGGGCTGAGGGACGTCCTCTTTCTGGAAATCGACGAAGGAAGCAGGTTGTCCCACCCTCCCTCCCTGAATTTGGTGGTTATGGGGGTTTCTTTTGTCACGGCAGCTTGGCGGGTTAGGGGGTCTTTGGGGGGTCTACAAAATCGGAGTTCATTACAAAATGTGGGGGGCCCTCAGCTGGTATGGGTGCTTCCCCCTGTTGGTGTCCGGATTTGTAAAGGGCGGGGGCCTGGCCCCTTGGGAACCCGGAAGGAGTAAGTGTCCTCGAGCTGGTTGTGGTGCGGCTGGGGACACGGGTGGAGTGTTATGAGAGGCCTTTTGGGCTGGCGGGCACCCAAAGACCCCTTCTCAGGTCAACCCTTGTTAAAGTATTATTTTTGTATATTTGGTTTATTACTTTGGTTATTGTTAAAGTTGTTTGTTTAATAAAAGGGACGCCGTGGCCGTTAAAATCCATGTCGCGCAGTCCGTGTGTTTATTGGGTTTTTTAACGGAGGGCCGAAAATTGACGAATCCATCAGTCATGAGTGGAGAGGACATAAGGGGAGAGAGGAGAAGAAGAATAGGGTAGGAAATGAGAGGGAAGGGGAGGAAAGGAGAAGAAATTAAAGAAGAGAAGAGGGAAGGGTTGGAGTGCAGCGAAGAGGAGCTGTTTTCAAGTCAAATCTTCTCTTTTCTTTCAGGCTACCCCTTCCGGGGAAACAGATCGGTGATTCGCGGCTGCTCTGATTACTGCCATGAGAGTGACATCAATAGCTTTGGCGTAACACAACCCACCTCCTGCTGCCAAAACGACCTGTGCAACATCAACAGCAAAGGTCCCGCAAGCATGATCGCCGGCTGGCACACCACTATGATTGCCATCCTCTCTGGCATCTTCCTCCAGATCTGGGGATAACCATGTACCAGCCTTGTGTGGCTCACATCTAATGACTCGTTGGTCGGGAGCTTACCATCTTGTCTTGAATTGTATTGTAACTGTAATGTCTTCCTTATAGTGTAAAGCGCTGTGCAAACTGTTGGCGCTCTATAAATCCTCTATAATAATAATAATTGAACAGCATTGTGCCAGTAAACTTCTCTGAATGCCGCCGCTGCAATTCTCCACTGAACGTCAGATAACGGCACAATTTTCAGATTTCCCAAAAATGATCACTTTGCACCAACGTGCACTCTGGCACTTTCTGTTACTGTACCCGATCTGCACTCTTGTATTAGCCGCCGCTGCACCCGACGCACACTTCCTTTATTCAGCCCGTTCAATGAACTGGAACACTTTTGCTAACAATAACTGAAAAAAATAATAATAGTGATGGTTAAATGCGCAAGAACATACCGTATACCGTATACATAAAAGTATAAAATGTGTTTTAGCCAGGACTGTCGGTGAAGCGGCGCAGGGTCTGTCCGGGGGGGGTTAGGTGGTTAGAGCTGTCGGAGAAGAGCGGGGGGCGGGCCTGCTGTTGTCCGCGAACGGGGGGGATGCTGTTGGATAGAATGCGTTGCTGCCTTGCCTAGGGCAGCACAAAAGTTAAATACACCGCTGGTTTTAGCTACAACGAATTATCACTTAGGCCTTTTTCACACCAAGCGCGTTCCAGGAGCGGAGCAGTTACAGACCCGATCAAAACTGCGTCCAATGTATTCCAATGGTATTTTGGGCTCTAGTTCACACCGCACCGTTCAGTTCCAGAGCATGTAAAAAAACTGCAGCATGCCCTATTTTACCTGCTCTGGAACACATGCAAACGCATCAAAAACGCATGCAAACGCCCTGGAACGCACTAAAAGCCCATTCTAAACTTTAAAAAAACGAATGTTTTATTCTTTTTACCAAAAACGACCCAGAACACATCAAAAACGCGGCAAAAACACTGCACAACCCACTGCACTGCGTGTGCAGAAACTCATGCAGATCTGGTCTGCATTTGGTGTGAACAAGTCCTGAAAATAAAACGACTTTAAAGGAGAACTATGAGGTCAGGGCTTTTCCCCATAGTTCTCCTAAGGGTAACGGGAGGACACAAACTAGCGTCTTCCCGTCACCCTAGGCTCAGTATATAGGGAGCTACTGCTCGCGGTATACTGAGACACTGCAGCCGGAGCGGATCCCGACATCGATGTCGAGATCCGCCCAGCTGCGTGAGTGACAGCTGGCTCTGCCTATCTAGAGGCAGAGCCTGCTGTACCCGCCCCCTCCCCCGTCCGCTCTGCCAGTCAGCACTGGCGGATCGGAGCGGGGAGGGGGGAATCCAGCCCCTCCCCCTGTCACGGCTCTCTGCCGTGACAGGATCGAGAGGTGAGCGAACGCCGGTATGTGTTCTCTCACCTCCCGATCTACTGAGCCGACCTGTGACAGTCTCATTGTCACAGGTCGGCTAGAACTATGAGGTGAGTAAAAAGCCCCCCCCCCCCCATAGTTCTCCTTTAACAGCTTTGCAAGTGTTAATATTATAACTCTGTAACAATCATTTCAACCAATAGACACATTTGTATCAATTCTTCGCTGTATCATAATATATAGAGAATTGATTATAATAAAGGAGAAAAGAACACCTGGGAAATAGTTATCAGGGTTTGAATGGACTCAGTGAAGACAAATCTGATGATGGGGGAAACATGTTTGTTATAAAATGCAATAAATAGGGGGCAGAATGGAGGAGAAGGAACAGCAATGAAGGGAATAGTTGAAAGTCATTTACCTGGATTATATTTAACCTGGTTGCTTATTGGGTGACAATAAGAATGAGAGTCCTGTAGTTGTGAGTAGGGATGCACTGATACTAGTATTGGTATCGGAGTATTGGAGTATTGGGCCTAGTGGTAACACACCTGGTCCACGGGTATGAGGATCTCAGCTTCAGATAAGGTGATGCTATATACAGGCAATGGAGGTGTGCGGCTAATAGTAGGTAAATGATCTTGGTTGCTAGTTTAGGCAGTCCAATATAACAGCTGCTAAGTCAGTGGTTCTCAACCTGTGGGTCGCAACCCACAGTTGAGGGGGTCCCCACGTGCCTTGTGCAGCTCTAGGTAAGAGGCTCCTCGGCCTCCTAGCATGGCAGTGTCAGTTCCCCTAGATGGCGCTGCAGCATCAGCGACCGGAGAGGATCAGATAGAGGGGAGCAGGCAGGAGTGAGGGGAGGTGAGTGCTAGGGCCGGGACCCCTCGGTAACATTTGACAAGTTGTGGTTAACCCCAAACGTAAAATTTAGGGATGCACCAATACTAGTATCTGTGTGGGCTCCCACTAGCCACCTGAGAGCCCGCATAGCCTCCCGAGAGCCCACACAGATACTAGTATTGGTGCATCCCTAAATTTTACGGTTGGGGTTCACCACAACTTGGCAAATGTTACCGAGGTCCTACAGGAGGTTACAGTATCCCAGTGGGAGTCCGTGGGAGAGGGTGCCAGCAACCCAGAGATGTGGTGAGGAGAGGCAGCTGGAGAGGTGTGGAGAGCAGTGGCGTAACAACCGGGGGGGGGCGGGGGGTGCGTTCGCCCCGGGCGCATAGATGGCGGGGGGCGCCTGCTGCGAGCCCGGCCGACTGTCACCAGAACAAGGCAGCAGGCATCAGGCTCCGTTATGGCAGATTATGCGGCCGAGAGGGCACTCGTCCGGCCCAATAGTGTGGAGAGTTCGGAGGTGCGGCGGAGGAACTTGCCTGGCGTCAACACCCTTGCACGAACGCCAGGCAGGTGAATCCGTCGGCTCAGGCAGAGGAAGGGGGAGGAGCCGTCTGACGTCGACTGCGGTGGCGTCACTGGGTCTCCGACGGAACGGCCGGGACCGCAGGACGGGTGAGTCCGTGACACTAGTACTCATACTCGCCCAAATGCTCCGATGCCTTCCCCAATACCGGAACTTCCAGTCAGCGAAAGATTTCCTCGGACCAGCAGTGCCGTAGGGGAACGTAGAGCCTGCTTCCCGGGCAATCAGGAAGTCGGCGGCTTCCTGATTGGCGGGAAAGCTGGCTCTATGCTGATTGGCTGGGAGGCCGGCTTTCCCGCCAATCAGCATGGAGCTGAGCTGGCCAAACAACATGCGTGTTATTACCCGCCGCCCAGCTTCCTGATTGCCTGGGAAGTCGGCTCTATAGCAGCGGAAGCAGCGGTATCGGTACTCGGTATTGGCGAGTATCGAAAGCAAAATATTGGTACTCGTAATCGATGTCGATGTCGGTGCATCCCTAGTTATGAGTGATGGGGATGGCTGGTATTTGCATTGTATGCTTTTACATAATGACACACTTAGCTTTGGGGGTGCTCTCCTCTAGTGCTATGAGGTCTGAGCTCCCCCGATCCATTCCATCCATGCCAATGCCAAGTCCTTCTCTTCTTCCGGGCCCGCTGTCTTCTTGCTTCGCCTATTTTGGCAGACACAGATGGAATTTGCATGTTCTCCCTGTTCTTGTACAGGTTTCCTCCCACTCTAAGGACATGCTGGTGGGATAATTGGCTCCTATCTATATTGGCCCTTGTATGTGAGAAAGGGACCTTAGGTTGGGTAAATTGTTGGCGCTCTATAAACACCTGTAATAAATAATAAATAACTGTCACATATGCAGGGCCGGTGCTGCCACTAGGCAGCCGCCTAGGGCGCACTGCTACCTAGGGCGCAGCCTAGACCATTCATCCCCCATGACGCCCCCCATCTATTTCAAAATGCAAAAGCCAATAGCAGTCTGGCTATTGCACCCACCCACTGAGCACAGGAGCTTAAAGGAGAACTATGAGGGGGGAGGGGGGGGTGCTTTTCACTCACCTCATAGTTCTAGCTGACCTGTGACAATGAGACTGTCACAGGTCGGCTCAGTAGATCGGGAGGTGAGCGAACACATACCGGCGTTCGCTCACCTCTCGATCCTGTCACGGCCCTCTGACGTGACAGGGGAGGGGATGGATCCCCCCCTCCGATCCTCCAGCGCTGACTGGCGGAACGGACGGGGGAGGGGGCGGGTACAGCTGCCTCTAGATAGGCAGAGCCAGCTGTCACTCACGCAGCTGGGCGGATCCCGACATC